GGTGGGGAGGGGGGCAGCCTCTGGGAAGCTGGAAGGGCCATGGCCGGGGGCTCGAATTTTGGAGTGCAAGCGGCTTGGGGATATGCCGCACGGGCTGTCTGGGGACATGGGGACATGGAGAGGGTCTGTGCTGTGCGGCGGGGGCAGGCATGGTCTTGCAGGGGCCGCTGCTGGCTGCGAGCGCCCGCCGCCGCCTGCGCATGACGCATAATGCTGCGTGCGGCGCGCCCCTGTCGCCCGGCGACCCCTGCTCACATTCCGCCCTGTCAGACCCCTGCCCATATTGACTGACCGGCCGCCCCTTCTTGGCGGCTGTGCCATGCGTGCGTCACGCCTGCGCAAAAGGAGACGCCCACGACGCGCAGCAGCAGCGCCCACGCGCATACTTCCTCCTCCCCACAACCACAAAGCCACGCACGTGCACAAACCCGTCAGGCCGCCGCCGGCGCCAAGGAGCGGCTCTCCTTCGTCCACGCGGCCGCGGAGGCCACCGGGCTGCCAGCTGGCGAGGCGGATCTGGTGTCCATGTGCCTGGTGGCCCATGAGCTTCCGCAGGCCGCGACCAGGGCCATCTTGCGGGAGGCATACAGGTGGGCGGGCTGCAAAGCGCTGCTACCCCTGGCGGCCGCTTCAGCGTTCTGGGGCTTGGGCTGTAATCTTTGGCTGCAAAGCACAGCGACCTCTCTTGGTCACTTTTACATCCTGCGGCTCTGCGTTTTTCCCGTGGCGTCGGGATCCGACCGTGGTGTTTGCTCCCTCACAGGGTGGCAGGCGGCAGACCTGCGCAGCATCCGAGAACAAATCGCGGGCAGCAGCGCCCCCCTTGTGCCCGCCTGGTCGACCCCCCTTGCCCCTCGCCCCTTGCAGTCCACCTCTTGCCCCCGCATCCACTCCTGCCACACACACCCTCCGCGCCGCCCCTGCGCTCCCACCCACCAGGCTCCTGAAGCCAGGCGGCGTCATGGCCATGTGAGCCCGCAGCGCGCGGCTGCCTTGCCCTCCAATCGCGATCCGCAGCAGCCAGGGTCCTGCCTCCTGCCCCGCACGCCCCCTCTTTCCCCTTCACCGCCGACGCTGCCGTCCGGCGCCAGCCTTGCCGTTCCCGGCCGCCTAGTCGCGGCCCGAGCCGCTGAGCTGGCGCTCGGCGACCATATATCTCTGGACGCATGCAGTCCGCCTTCAACACATGAGCTGCGCCCAGGGCTCAACCACGCCCCCCCCCCCCCTTCCACCCCTCTCCAAAAACGTCCAAAAAAACGTCCCTGTCGTGCCGCAGCATGGAGATGAACCCCGCGTCCCCGGCGTTCCAGCGGATATTCAGCAACCCCTTTGCATTCACGGCGTTCAAGTCGACAGAGCCGCACCTGGCGGGTAAGGGGCGTGCAGCCGGGGGCCGCTGGGTGGGTGGGGTGGGGGCTTGCGCAGGCAGGCATGGGCCCCCCACCCCGGTGGCTGCGCCGCGCCGGGGCCGCCGCTGCCCTTTGCGCTTGGCAGCCTCACGCCGCACCCGTGCGCGCGCGCCCATGCCAGCGCCCCCGGCCTGCGGCTTGGTTGTTTGCTGGGCAGATTGCTGCCTGGAGAGATCTCCGCGTCGCACGGCTCGGCTCGGGGCGGGTGGCATACCCCAGCAAGCCCCCTTTCCCCTGTTGTTCCCCACAACTGCACGGCCCCACTGCCGACCTCGACGGCCCCCGCCCATCGCGCCCCCGCGCCAAACACAACCCACCCAACCCCAGAGTATATAACCTTGGACCTGGCCGCGGCGTTTGTTGACGCCGGCTTTGGGGCCCCTGAACAGCTGGAGAACACCCCGCGTCACCGCACAGTGGTGGCGGTCAAGCCGCTGTGACGCGGCAGTTTGTGTTTCGGCATTTGCGTACCCTGCATTGCACTTGCGTGAATGCAACAAGTGCCTGTGCACTTGTTGGTCGTGTGTGTGAGCGTGTGCGCTTGTTTGTTTTCGGGGCGCGCATTTGTGAATTTTATCTACACGTGAGTGTGCTTTATTGCAGGAGTGAAGCGCTCGGCTGCAGCCGTCCATTAGAGGGGCGCCGCGCACCCAGAGGCGGCCGTGGCCGACGTGTGTAAAACCGCCGTGGCGCGTGTGGGCGTTCAATCGTGCATGTTTGATTGTTACGGATTCGGGGGCATATCGGCATCCAGGTGGAACGGGGAGGGGCAGTGTGCGGGCTCTGCTGCACACAGCGACGCGACAGGTCAGGGTGGGCGTTTTTGAAGTGACGCCAGCTGTCGCCAGCCCGTGTGCAGGAACCATCCATCAGGCGCGTATGGAAATCAGCACATTATTGACAGTTTTGTATACGGCATCTGAAATCTTCCTCATGGCTGTCTTGCTGCACCATGCACGTCAAGGAGTGTGCTCTTGACGCGAGCTGTCCAGACACACGCTCACCCGGTGTGGACGCCAGCCTGCCAGCTCGGGCAACACCATAAATGAGAGCATATGAGTGTAATTGTCGAAGGCTGTCGCACACTGCTGGTCGTGAAGTGCGATAAGGCACCCGTTCACCAGGAGGCTGTTGTAACCGCGATTTCGCGGTGCCACCGCGGTCATACCTATTCTCCCCGCAATAGCCTCAGCTAATAAAATTTTGTGAGGGAAAAAGAGTACCGTATTGTAGCAACCCCTTCAAGTTCACTCACATTCTCCCACGACCCAGCAATCATGGCGAATGAGACGACTTTCACGGTTTACCAGTCGATCAGGTGTGTTGGTGTTGGTACATACAGTCACATTGATGCAGCTAACTGCGTTTAGCACGCGCACATTGGACCATGTTGACTCGTCAGTGCGCAGGCACCCGTCGCTCACTCCGCGCCCATGGGACCCAATATTGTCATTCACAGCAGTCGAATCACTTGTGTTGACGTTTGATTTGCTCTTGCACGGCCCATGGTTGCGCCTCGTGGCGGGCCCATGCGCTGCCAATCCAAAATGCGTCCGCCGCCTGCCCTTCTTGTGTGTCCGCAAATCCCCAGGTCGCACCAGTTCCTGGTCTCCCTGCTGGTCGAATTTCTGGTGCGCACCCGCAGCCTTGGTGTCACACACGGCGCCTTGAAATCGGATGGACGAAGCACGCTCGACTCAGCGTTGAACGCTGCGCACAAGCATGCGGCCGGCAGCTCTCAGGCGGACAACCGCTGCCATGCTCTGCGAACGCCGCCTGCAGGTCATGCCATCCATAACAAAGATCCCTAACGCATCCCAAAACCGCCGCCCTGCCCTCCAGGGCGTGACCCTTTTTGCCTTCCTGGGCAGCACCGTCACCGGCGCCAACGCCCCCTTTGTCAACGGCCTCGCGCTCGCCGTGCTGAGTGAGCGCACCGCCTGCCCATGCCCGCCCACCCGCGCTCTGCTGCCTGCCTGCCTGCCTGCTGCTTTCGATAAGAACTATCATGCCAGTTTGCCACTCGACATTGCATGCAATCGTCCCCGGTCAAAGCCCCTGAGAAGATCCGTCCCAACCCCAAACCCCGGCCTCCCCGCCCAACGCGCGCGCCCGCGTGCAGTCTACACCGCCGCCAACATCAGCGGGGGCCACCTCAACCCGGCAGTCACGGTGTCCACCCTGCTGTGCGGCTTCTACCCGGTGCTGCACGCCGTCCTCTACATCATCCTGCAGGTGCGGCTGCCTTTCACTTTTGAGGCGGACAGGATCATGCATCATGTTATCAGTCTCAAACCTGGGGCTTCCGGATGCGATCGGCGCAGTCGGAAGTGCACTCTGGTTGGCGAGCAGACGGCGCAGAATCAGAGGCGGGCCTGCAGGGCTGCCGTTCTGGGCCGGCTGCCGCACACTGTGCTGCCCCGCGGGCCGGGCAGCGGCGACTGCGCCGCGGGGCTGGCCGCCGAAGGCGTGCGTCCATCACGCCTCAGAGCGGACGCGCCCGCGCCCCGCGTGCTCGCGTCCGCCTCATGTGGATTGGTCCCACAGCCTGTGATTCCCACCACAACCGCCCTCTGCGCCTCCGACGCTCAGAACCGCACCCACGCTCCCAGCCACTTCCATCCGCCCCTCGCTCCTCCCCCACACACCATCAAAGTATGAACCTCTCACCACCGCTGCGCACGCCCCAACAGATCCTGGGCGGCATCTGCGGCTCTCTGCTTGCCGCCGGCCTGCTGCCCAAGACCAAGCTGGGCATGGGACCCAAGGGGCCCGGCTGCTTCGAGCCGACAATCGATGAGAGCGGCGCCGGCCTCACCAGCGGCCAGCTCTTCGGCTGGGAGGTGCGGGGGTTGTTGGGGTTGGGGGCGCCCCTAGCAATGGCAGCCATAGGCGGGCGAGGGGGTGCGTGAGGGGTGCAGGCGCCCGCCCGCGTTATGCGCCCACACTGCTGGCGGAAAATTTTGCTGGGGACGGCAGGGTGGCCACGAGCCTGCACCGTGCCGCAGGGACGTGCGCTCCCGCCGGGTCTCTCTCAGCTTCCGCCATCCATGATCCGCTTTCAAGCCTTGCTTCGAGCCTTGGCACCCCAGAATGAGGCCGCCATCTCAACCCGGCGGCGCTTGACACCGACTTCAAAACCCTGACCTAATTTCACACAACGCCGTCCTCTAACACCAACGCCTCCACCACCATGCCTACCCGGTGCTCCAAACACCCAAAACAGTGCGTCATGACGTTCACCCTGATCTCAGTCGTCTACGCCTGCGGTGTCGCCAAGCCCGGGCACGGCAGCTTCACCCCGCTGGTGGTGGGCCTCACGCTCACCGCCTGCGCCGGCACCGGCGGCAAGTGGACGGGAGCCGCGCTCAACCCCGCTCGCGTGGTTGGGCCCGCCGTCGTTTTTAACTGCAGCGGCAGCTACTGGTGGGTGGCATACACTGCTTTTCAGATTTCTGGATGTTTTTGTTGTCTCTGCCGCAGCCGCCTCGCGGGCCGGCCTCGGCCAAGCTGGGGTTTTGGGATACACTGTCTCACGCAATTCAACGCCGGCCGCTGGCAGAACATTCAATCATCACATATACGTACTTTTTCCACAATATTTCAGTGCAAGCGCTCCCCACCCCGGCGGCCGAGGCAGCCTGCCTCTCCACATAAACTCAGCCTCGACCCCACCGCCGCACCTCCTTTGACCGGTCAACCCCCCAGAGCTCTATTCCCGTGCTCCCCCGTCTCAAAACCCCAGGTGGCTTTACGTCCTGGCCGAGATGCTGGCCGCCCTGCTGGCTTGCTGCGTGTTCGCCTTTGTGTCCGGCTGGTGAGCCCCGCCCAGTGGCGGCAGCTGCCGCCGCAGGGCGGCGTGCGAGCCAGCAACGAAGGGCCCCTGCTGCGCAAGACAGCTCATGCGAGACGCGGAACGGCCAGCCAGCCTTGGATTTACGCTCCTCACGCCACCAGGGTCGCCCTTGCAGCGAGCATTGCGAGGCCTCGCATTTGCGCGCCCTGCACGCGAACTCAGTTGTTGCCTCCGTTCGCCGACGGAATTCGCGCCGCTGCCGACGCCCGCACTGTCCCGCTGGCTGCACGGCGCCCCATCCTGACACCGTCTCTGCAAACCTTCGACGCACGTGCTCATCCCATCTGCAGGGGCCCGCTGTCGCCCGTCAAGAGCCGCGCTGAGTACGGCCTGACGACTGTGGAGGCGCTGACCCTGTGGCTGACCGGCTCTCCTCCCAGGCGCATGCTGGACCAGCGTGGGGACAACATGGAGGTGTGTGTGTGTGTGTGTGTGTGTGTGTGTGTGTGTGTGTGTGTGTGTGTGTGTGTGTGTGTGTGTGTGTGTGTGCGCGCGCGTGCGTGCATGTGTGTGTGCACGTGCGTGTATGTACGTATGCACGTGTGTGCGTGCGTGCGTGTGTGTGAGTGCGCGTGTGCGGGACAATGCGTGCTGAGCACAGAGCGGCCATAGCAATGCCAGGGCAGTGTTTTGGAAGCAAACAAAGCCGCGAATCGATGCCCTGTGCCCTTCTGCCTGCGGCCGTTAACGAATGCGGCACGGCCTACGTGCCAATATGACAAATTGCACCCCCTGAGGCCGCCCGGCTCGTCCTGCCGAACGCCCCATGCATGCTGACGCGTTTCATTTTTTTCAACCCCCAAAACAGGACGTCGTGAGCCGCCTTGAGAAGGAGAACAGGGCAGCCAAGGCGGCCAAGACGGTGGACGACCACGCCGCCTGATGAACCCTGCGCCCAAGATCACCCGGTGCATAACTAATTGACAACACATGCTCGCTCGCATCAACACGTGGAGGCCCCAGCAACAAATAGGGTTGAGCAATACAAGGTTCTGATTCAGGTGCATGCATTTTGAACTCCTCGGCCGGCAGGCAAGGGTGCAGCAGCACACTCGATTCATTGCCGCCCATTTAGCCAAACCAATCCATCTCCAGCTACTTGATTGTGGCGCATGCC